ATTTCAAAATTGAAGTTATCATATGACAAATATTCAGTGGACAAAGTTTGAACAAAAATCTATTGCAACTTTTATTTCAGAGGAATTACCTTAAGTGCGCGGTGTTGTGAATAAAACAGCTCTGTAATCATAAAGATTTGAGTTTTTGCTACGGCTTTCCGGGTGCGAAAACTTTTCGGGACCTTCGAGAAACGGGCCCCAGGACTCTACCCGTACCCCCAGGAATTGTAGGAAAAGGCAAAAATCCCAAGGAATGGGGCTGAGTTTTGGTTTCTTCTTTCTTACAGCCGACCGAGTCCACCTAAGGCGAACCTTAGGTTCAATCACCAGCCGCTGTTCGGGAAAGGAGCCCGCGCTCCTCCCCTGGACGCAGACCAGACACGAGAGAGCGGCGGAAATGGAGCCTATGAACAAGCTCCTAAATTCCTGGTCATGAAGCGACCAGAGCTATTAAACAGAGAGCGTGTTCACAGGTTAACTTTCTTTCAGATGACGATGCTCTTTGTTGCAGTTTACAAGGGATGTGAAATTGTTGTTTCATACGTGGGTTGAATGGATCACAACTTCGCATGGCGACAGTCAGAGGTGAGTAAGCTTAAACAGCGAAACCAGCCAACAGAAGGCGGGTTTGATGCTCGGAAACAAGATAAGCTTATGTTAAAGAAGTTTAACTGTTTTGAAAAATGCAAGCAGCTTGTAATTTGATGTGGAAACCTCTCCAGAGTTTTTCACGTTAAAAATGGCTGCCATTTGATACCTGAGTTTGGATTCGAATTCGATTTGTTCTAGTTCGACTACGAACCCAAATTTCCTATTTAACAATTAGATTATGAGCTCGAGATTTCTATCGCATGATAGTTGACGAGGGCACAGCCCGAGTTAACTAAACTATCACGCATAGAAATCTTGAGCTCAATCTAATTGTTTTGGTATAAATCTACTATTCGCTCAAAACTTTACCTACATGTAAATCTTCTTTACAGACACTTTGAAAACGCCAAGAAGCAGCCGTCATTTTGTTAACAAGGGCACACTGCTATGCTATCTCACTATCTCTGGTTTTAACTGATTCTTTCTTGCTACTCTTAGTGCTTAATAAGCTGTTGCTTGTCATGTTGTCACAAACTCATGGTTATGATCAGTTCCTTTAATTCTTTAAATTTTGCAGAAGTGTCGGACTGCCGGTCATTTGTAAACCTTGACCAGTAGTCGACCTTAATACAAATCGAAGTGACGACAACGCAACGGTCTCTGAACCCAGCATAAACTCAGTGTTTGAATATTGAGAAGCTCATTGATACAGAGATGATGTCTGCTATATTTCAAATCTGTAGCTCTAATACTCAAGCTGCGAACAGTGGAAAAAAATCATTTGTTGAATTACAGAGCATGTATGGGAACACTATGACAGAGAAAGTATGGGCACATTCACATAACTGTGAATTTCTCGGCTAATTACCAGTCATATAGGAATACTTTTCACCAAACATCAGAAGAAGAGGTGTAAAACCAGAGCTATACAAATTATTTGATTATCTAATTTTATTTATTGTATATCTTGTTGGTATAATTATTTAAATCAATAATTATTCTAGGGCATTCAATTTAAATGGAGCCCTGATACAACATAAATTTGACAACATAAATTTGAATCAGAGAACATTTGGAAATACATTTGATGATGAATATTAAAAGAATAAAACCACAAAGTTTCGAAGTCATCTTGACTCCATTATCAAGTAGAGGTGTTAGCTGTAGTTACGAGATTAAATACAAATAAAGTTGATAGAGTACAGTAGAATAATAAGAGTTTCGTTGTCATTGGTGTTTGACATGACAGTGCATGCGGTATATGTTTAAATAAATACTTTTGCACGTATTGAGTCTGACTGCTTGTTTAACTTCGGTTTCTGTTCACGAACTGGAACCTCAATGTACATGTGTAGGATGTTGGCCTAACAGTCACTGTGTTGGACTTGAGCATTCCAGGACTAAAGGTATGCATGCCTTCAGAGTCGTGGAGTTGGGTTCTTAGACAGGGAACTTTAATTTCTTTTTCAGTGACTCTTAAAGAAGTATGAATGGGTACCCTGCATTGGGCTAGCATGCCATGCAGCAGTTGTGACAATACGCTCCTCGTCTTACTTCGGAAACCAAATATTAGTGTGAGCACTGATAAGCCATCTGGCTCTGGTCTCTGATTCCTAGAAATTATTGAAATAGTTTGAACATTTTGTCTTAATGAGATATTACAGTAGCTGACAAAGGTATACTTAAGGAGTGCACTTCAAAATTAGAATGATTTAAAGTATAATGTAGTATGTGTAATTTTCTGCATATTTTATCTATGAATGTTGCAGGTTCAAAGTCAAGAAATGAAACCAAATTGAACATAACTCTGGCCTCAGATGATGAGGGTTGGAACAGAACTGTGAATGGGCAACTAGTAATTGAATTAGGCAGGAATACCAGATTGAACGTGACAGGATTTGTACCTAAAAACACCCATCAACAGAGAGAACATGCCAGGAGTTTAAATATTGAGCTTGTTGATGCAAAGGATCACACAGGATTTTCCTCATCAGAGCTGCTCTCTTTCCCCCCTGAGAGTCTTGAAATTGACATTCTATTGATTCATGCTCATGGGCAAGACCTTGGGCGGCAGGCGCAAAGTATAAAGGAAGCCAAGAAATGTAAGTGGGTGCAGGTTGTACACACAGACAGTCATTGGGAAGAACTTTATGAAGGACAACCTAGACTTCAGACATTGTGTGAAAAGGCTGATTTTATAATTACAGTTGGTCCAAAAGTTGCAGACACTTGCAAACGTGCTCTGCGCTCCTCTGAAAAGCATGTCTTTGACTTAACACCGGGTGTTTTTGAAGACCTAAGTGGTGTTCGTCAGTTGTATGGAGATTTGAGTACATTTCATGTTTTGTTGAGTGGCTCATCAAAATATTTTAAACTCAAAGGATGTGACATTGCAGCTAAAGCAATCAAGTTACTAAATACACCATCAGCATCTTATCACCTTACAGTTAATGTGAAGCCCTGCGACAATCCAGAAGAGGTAAGAAAGGCCTTACTCGGTGAGGGCCTTGACTCTCGTCAACTCACTGTAAGAGTGTCTGATAGCCATGACGATTGGCGCAAAATGCTCTGTGAAGCAGATCTTGCTATTAAACCATCAAGAAATGAAGGTTTTGGAATCAGTGGTCTTCTTGCTATTTCAGCAAACTTACCTGTTCTCGTAAGTGAATACAGCGGACTTGGTATTGCCCTTAAGAATATACCACTTAGAAATAGCAGTGTTGTGGCTTCTGATGACCCTGAGGTGTGGGCTGACAGGATAAAGCAGATCAGAGCAAAGACCTCAGAAATCCGCCATGCAGAAGCTGTGAAACTGAGAGAAGCATACATGCAGCAGTTCAGTTGGAAGGATCAGTGTGACAAACTGGTGGAGGAATTGTTCAGGATAGTCCCACAAGAGTGTGGTATGTACATGTTCTGAGTTCAATGTGTAAGACCTGATGGTAAGGTTGTCAATACCAACTGTAATATTGTAGGTGGTGTCAGGAATTTCACATGTTGATAGATATATTTTGGCAGTGTAGACTGTTCACAGCCCTCTGTTTTTATTCAATCATTGAACGTGCAGATAGAATCACAAGAGATCTGGACGCCAGTGCAAAGCAGAAGACTTGACTGGGTAGGGGTGGGGACTGACATATATAGAGAGACTGTAGACATCTTTGGAAAAAGTGAATTCCCCGTTTCTCCAGAAACAAAAAATTCCCATTGGTTGAAAGGCAACAATAGTGTCATCACCTTGACAATGGCTGATCATGATTGGGTCCAGACTGTTTTTGCGGCTTGCAACAATAATTATTGTCATCACTGACACATGCCATGATTTGTATTGAAGCGGTTATTTTTAAAATAGAATACTGTTAAGAGAAATTTCAACATTTCTTCACTCAAAGGTGAACAGAAAGAGGCTACTGTTCATCTTCTTCAGTCAAAAGACATTGTTGCAATTTTGCTGACCAGCTTTGAAGAAAGTCTGATGTATCAACTCTGCGCAACAGCAAAAGAAATGCAAATGGTGTGAATATTGTTGTTCTCATTGTTTTGCCACTCAAAAGCATCATGAAAGATCAAATAGAAGAGATGGAAGAGCTTAGGATTCCTTACATCATTTTTGTCAACTAAGGACAACTGCTTCTGCTGATTGGAGAAGCGAAATACAAGCTTGTTTTCGGAAAACAGCTGAAGAGATTTTGTATGCAACATTTTAAAACATGTTATAGAACAGAGATTCTCTGCTCATTGTAGTTGACGAGTGCCACACCATGTAACACCTTTGGAACAAATTTCCCGCAGATATGTAAGATGTCTGGCCAAGATCCCCAAGCGAATAGCAAAAGAATAAGTGCATATTCTACAAAAATCGGAAGGACCACTTGATTTTGGCTTTCTCC